TCCAACTTAGAGATGGGGAAAAAGAAACTCATTGACACATCAAGTAACTTGACAGGATGATTCACCTGGGATGAGGCAGAGTCAGAATTCATAGCCCCCAATGTCAGGCTCTGAATCCTGGGACACTGTCCCAAGTCTTGCAGCCTCTCCTGTCAAACACTCTACTGGGGCATGAAGTAGTGACATCTTGTATAGTAGGAAAGGCCCTTAAAACTGTAAGACTCATGGATTCCCCAGTACTTGGAATTTCAAACACATATATGTCAAAGATTTAAAAAATCATTTCTGAATATTATTGCATAAAATATGAGGCATAAAACCCTGAGGTCATCATTGAAATATGACCAAATTCTTATAAAGTTTGAATTAACTTAGAAACAGTAGGATGAAGAACTAATAGATAGTGTTTACTCTGTGCCAAGAATTATTCTAGGAGATTTAGAAAAAACACGTCCTCTAATTCACTGCAGCCATTTACAGGGGTAGGTATTGTTATAATACCCAATGAACAGATGAGGAAACTGAGGCACAGAGAAGATAGATCACATGGATGGAGCCCAGGAGACTGGCCCAGGATCCCTGTTCTGCAAGTGGCACTGTTACCTCCCCAATGTCTTACATGCCGTCTTTCTTCCTCTTTACAGAAAGAGCCTGTGCCCCAGGAAGCAGGACTTCCCTCTCCCCAGGGTACTCCCTGCTCTTCAAGCTGTTACTTATGGATGCCACCGTTACTATTGGGAGCAGTCTCCTCTTTAAGCTCCTCAGAGCAGGTACTCTGTACTGTTGCCACATTTCCCCCGGGGTTCCCTGAAGAAAGGTTTGCCTGTTGGGCCTCAAAGAAGCTTAAACGGAATGGCAGTTCATTAGCTCCAGGCATTTAGACCAACAGACTAGATGTTATTTGTCTGCAGGATCTTTTATGGTACAGAGAGCATTCTCGTACACATGATTGATCATCTTCCTAAGAAAAGCAAGTGGTTCTGTGCCTGTGTCAGAGGTCAGTAATCAGGATTTTAACTGTGGTCCCACCTCACATCGGATTGGTAACAGGGAAAAGTTACTAAATACGTTGAGCCTCTGTTTTCCATCCTTGACACAATGAAGTGAAAATACCCATTTTTGTTTTCCTAGAACTAAGGAAAGGATGAAATTAATTTTGAAGAAGAGACTGTTCAGTGTCTCAGAGAGAAGACAGGTGCTGATTCATCAGTTTCGTGATGTTGAATCTGTAGAACTTACTGTATCTGTTGAGTTGCTTGGCCAGAGAGTAGGCGGTAGCCCGACATATAAGAAATTTCTCCTTGAGATCTTCAAACTGCTGTTGGCTCTCTTCCAGCTGGGAG